ATCCCTAAATAAAACTTGTCAACGATTTGTAGTATATACTGCTGTGATTGTTAATCTTAAATTTTAGGAGTGATATCGATTTTATAATTTCGTTACTTCATCAGCTCCAGTGGAAATCAACCAAAGTGGATTTTAAAATGAGACCATCACCTCATAAACTGTGATATGACAATGTTCATTTTTGCATTGTTTAAACAGATAAAAAACACTTAACGGTTCCCCTCCAACTCTCTTAAAAGTTAAAAGCCAGACAAAATTGCCATAGCAGCGGGGTAAAGGTCAGAGAGACCAGTCATTGACTCAGTCATGTTTTATCTTTTTTTATCGTTTATGTAGTTTTATTTATCCATTCTTTTTGGTGTTGATGAATAAATGATTGTAAAACATTCATGAACAACAACGTCTTCTTCACGTCAACCAGTAAATGCATACAACAGTGGACCCCAAAATAATCAGATTTTAACCCCCCCCCCCCTCGAAACCCCCTTCCACCTCCTCGTAGAGGGGGACACAGCACCTACCCCCCTTTAATGTCACAGAAACTTTTTTTGTCCTTCCCCCCAAACTATCTATCAGCCTTTCCTTTTATTTATCATCACAGATGTTAATTTTTTCTTCTGCTAATTCCAGGTACACCGAAATAAAACAAGGTCAAGTGACACTTAGGAATGTGCTGTCCTTTGTTTCGCTTGATTGTGTTAGTTGTGCTATGTGTTGTGACTAGCATTGTGTGGATAGATGTGGAGAGTCGTGCTGGATATTAGAAAGCGTCTTTAACTTATTACAAGAAATACAAGAAAAAATACTTTAAAGGTAGCGGTAATTACGACTCTCTCTCTCTCTCTCTCTCTCTCTCTCTCTCAGTGTGTACCTGTGTGTTGATATGCGTGCCACAATCGAGATACACATGAAGCAGACTAACCCCCCTCCCCTTGGGGAGATTCAAATCCAATTTCAAACCACGCTTCTTACTGTCAGCTAATGTGTTCCAAATGTTTTAAATTATATTTTCATCTGTTTGTGAAAAAACGTGATTTTGCTGCGCTTAAATTTGTTCAACCACATTCGAAAAACAACAAGCAAATGATATTAAAACATGACGTAATATAAAAGAGCCCTGAGCCCTTCAGTAGATATGCCAATGTAAAACAATAAGCGATTCAGAAAAGTTACATTATCTGACGAATAAATCTATAGGCTGCAAATAATTTTGATTGCATGTAAGATGACATTAGTTTTAGCTTTGGGTATTTTGAATCCGTAAAAATCAAGATTGTGAACTTTTCGTTGATTTTAAGCGACAAGTAATAAGAATGATTGTGGTGATTTCCATTTTTTTCTACGAAACTTGAATGACCTTAAAAGTCTTAGGGCGTATTCCCATAGATTTTAGATCGATCTATCCCCGTGGTGATTCTCACCAGATTACTCAGATAATCCGGCTTAAATGTCCGTCCCCCCTACTACAAGCTGTAAGGGGGTAATTATCTTCGGCTGACAGCTATTTAGGGTGAACCCCCAGGGAGTTAGGTCGATCTAGTTTGGATCGATCTAATTTCTGGGAATGGGGTCTTACTCCGCATTTGAATGGAAAATGAGCGACAATGTTTTTACTTAAAAGAGCATGTATGCAGAAAAGAACTCATATTAGATAATGATTCATGCTTTTATCTTTCATCCAGCCCGCTTATTTAACAGATAAGCATGCAAAGAAGATGGAAGATCAAACAATGCTATTTATTCATCACCCAGTCTTAGATACACTAACAATAAATTAAAAGTGAAGTGCTGTTAACTTTAAATAATAATATAATATAATGATATATTTATTTCGAGTCTAAAATCCATAAAACGTTCAATAGACTGTACAACATAAAATACAAAGAAGTTTATAGATAAAAATGGTTAAGATATACATTATATAAATCGGAGCTAGACTAAATAGTAATAAACAGTAATTAAAAGTAAAACATCCAAGGTTTCTTTAATGTAAAATTTAAAATTCATGAATAAAATGTCTTAAAAATGTGAGTTTTCAGTTCCTTTTTAAAAGATTCTTGTGATTCCATTCGTCTAATAAAAATTGGTAACTTATTCCACTCTGTTAGTGCAGCTACACAAAATGATATGTCACCATATGTTTTTAACTTTGATTTGGGAACATTCAGTAAAAGTTTGTCACCAGACGTCATGGATCTTTGAGGGCTATAATGTTTGACTAGATCAATTATATATTGTGGAGCTAGGTTATAAAAAGCAGCATGTGTAAAAACTAAAACCCTAAATAAAATTCTGGTCCTAACTGGTAACCAGTGCAACTGCTTTAAAATTGGAGTGACATGGCAATCCCTAGGCTGTAGCATTGAATGCCGTGCACTGCATGAAAAAACACCTTTTATCGCCTTTCATTCATCTACAAAATGTTATCGAAAGATGATCCCTCATCTTTCATCATCCTTTCCTGACGAAAAGGTCATCTTTCACCTTTCATTTGTAAAAGGTCATCTTTTTATCAACTTTTACCTCTCGGAAAGACCGTCATTCACATTTTCATTAACTTTCAGTTTTCAAAAGTTCAACTATCACCTTTTACAGTGCGAAAGGCCACCTTACATTCCAGCTTTTGTTAACTGGAAAGGTCACATTTTGTTTATCTTTTATTTTCTGAAAGCTTAAGACTAATTTTATAATAATGCGTGGTGATCTTTTGTATGTATACTATTTATTTTATGCACAGGACTTAATTCCGTATCTTACATTAAGCGCATTATGGAAAAAGTGAATACTTTTGCAAATTGTTTGCATGATGAAATGTTTTGCACTTTGATTAAAGTATTTAACTGATAGATTGAATGTGGTGATTTGCATTTCGGAGAAATAATTATGCAATCTTGCATTGGCCTGAGTTTATGTATAAATATATAGCATTCAGTGCAGTGGAAGAAGTGTTCACCGAATTTCACTTGAGGTAGACATATACTTTTGACGGTTTAAACGACAAACAACTTTCAGAATCGAAAGTAACTTATATTTTTATTCCAATATCGTCAGGGTTTAAATACAGCAAATAAAAAATTATATGTCAGAGGTCACATCTCCATATTTGCCTAGATAATTACTTTCACAGGAAATAATCTCCATGCTTCTGGACAGTAGCTAATTATGTCAGGATTATAGCATTGGTTGCACCAAGTCAAAATAGTGTTTGAGGTCACCTCTCCATAATTTGCCTGGCTAGAGGCTCGTCTCTAAACAGAAAACCACCCC